TTTAATTTTTTTTGATTTATTGTAGAGATGAGGTCTCGCCAAGTTGCCCAGGTGGGTCTCAAACCCGCGGGCTCAGGAAATTCACTCACCTCAGCCTCCCAAAGGCGTGGGATTACAGGCTGAGCCACTGAGCCCGACTGGCCTGGGCTTTTCTTCTGCCATCAGGATGAGCATATTCCCACAGTCCCTTGTAGGGTTTTTGTCTATAGGCTCTTACCTGATTTTCTATGAATTAAATTCATACATGAAAAACAGTGAGCCATCTTTTCTTCTTTCAATGTATTTACATATAAGTGTCAAGGGTGTTTTTCCAGCCAAGAGTTCAACCAGATTTGCAAGTTTGCAAGATGTTTGTGGCTTACACAGGTTTCCTGCTTCTTTCCCCTGTTCTCTTCATGTGATTATTGTCTGCGAGGCAGGTACTTACGGTTTGTGTTAACAGAGAGGACTTCTTTCTACCTTTGTTGAAGTGGTTTTGTAGTAAGTCCTACCTGTTGGTTATGTTTGCATCCACTAGGTGGCAGGAATGACTGCAGAATGCCGTATGAGCAGGAGGGAAGGAGGGAGTGAGATCTGACAGGCATCTGGACAGAAGCAAAGAGTAGAGAGGTGTGAAGTGGCTGCTCCTCGGTGTCTGTGTGTTCAAGTGAAATTCAGTAGAGTGGCAGGGGAGGAGGTGGGTCAAGGACTTTCCTCCTTCAGGAAGTTCTGTTTTTTACTGACTGGCCAGAAGGAAAGTTTGACTTTTCTAATCTGTATTTTCATGCAAGGTACCCGTTTTGTTCCTTCTGTATTTTGCTTACAGTTTGCAAACTATTACATAGATTTGTGGTTAATCTCATCAGGATCTTGTTTCCTTATAGAAAATCAGCAAATATCTGTTGCCCAAAAGGCTCTCCTGCCTTGACCTACTCTCCTTTCATTTCCATCTGTCAAAACCTTACACAGTACAGATGCCACTTCCACAAGTTCTTCCCCAACTGGAAGGGGTCTTTCCTGCTCTACTCTCATGTGCTACCCAAGAGTGTCCTGCTCTTGGACGTGCTTGCTGTGGGCAGCTGAGTCCTGCTGCTCAGACCAGTGAGTTGTGTATTCCCCTGTCCCACCCATTTTCACCATGTATGTCTTCGTTAGCTTGGCACCTTGCAGACTTTAGTGAAATTTCAGTTTGGTAGTTAAGGGAAAATGTTGGACTAAAAAGAATGACTGGTGAGTACTATTGGATACAAACGGAAAACTCTCTTATATTCACAGTCTTGGAAATTTTGATCTGATGAAGAATACGTTTCCTTGGACTGTACACTGTGCTAGGAAATAGTAACGTGAAAGACTTTATTTTTTTAACGAATACTTTTCCATATGCTTATTTTGTTCTTAAAGTTTTCTCTCTTCAATATTTTTTTCTGTGTTGGAGTCTCTGTCGCCCAGGCCGGAGTGTTGTGGCACACACTTGGCCACTGCACCGTCGACCTGCTGGGCTCGGGTGATCCTTCCACCTCAGCCTTCCAAGTAGCTGGAACTATAGGAACACACCACCAGGCCCGGCTAATTTTTTTATTTATTGCAGAGACGACGTCTCACTAAGTTGCTCGGGCTGATCTGAACCACTGGGTTCAGGTAGTCCTCTTGCCTCTGCCCCCCAAAGTGCAGGGATTACAGGCATGAGCCACTGAGCCTTGCTTCATTTTGTTCTTAAAAGTGTATAGAGCTGGGTGCAACATGGTGACACCTTGTCTCTACAATCAATCAAAAAATTAGCCAGAGCCAGGCTCGGTGGCTCAGCCTGTAATCCCGCGCCTTTGGGAGGCTGAGGTGAGTGGATTGCTTGAGCCTGCGGGTTCGAGACCCGCCTGGTCAGAGAGACCTCATCTCTACAATAAATCAAAAAATTAGCAGGTATGGTGGCACATGCCTGTGGTTCCAGCTTCTTGGAGGGCTGGGGCAGAAGGATCACCTGAGCCCAGCAGGTCGAGGCTGCAATGGCTACAAGTGTGCCACTGCTCTCCGGCCTGGGTGACGGAGTGAGACTTCAACTAAGAAAAGCATATGGAAAAAGCACAGATGCCTGGAAATTTTGCATTACAAAAACTGTTATAAAGTACGGTGGAGACCAGGCACGGTGTCCACCTGCAATCCCCACACTTTGGGAGACTGAGGCAGGACAATTGCTTGAGCCCAGGGGTTTGAGACCAGCTTAGGCAACATAGTGAGACCTTCCTTCTACAAAAAAATCAGGCAGGCTTGGTGGCATGTGTCTATATTTCCAGCTTCTTGGGAGTCTGAAGTAAGAGGATCGCCTGAGCCCAGGAGGTCGAAGCTGTGGTGAGCCATGATTGTGCCACTGCACTCCAGCTTGGGCAGTAGAGTGAAACGCCAACTTAAAAAAAAATTTTAAATTAAAAAAAAAATAAAGTAGACTGGAGTATACATACCTTTTTCCTTTAAAGCTACTCTGACTTCGATCATTCCATACCAGTGAGCAGGCTTTGTTAATGTGGCTGCTGAAGGAGAGTCAGGTTTTGACAGGGTCATGGGAAAGAGCTTTATTATGATGTTTAGATGAAAATACCTTGAAAAGTACAAACCTGTTCTATAAAAATGCCCCTAGGGTCTTTTTGTTTGGGAAAGCAGGAAAGGTGGTGTATAAGTGTGTGTGCACACTTGATTCTGCTTCCCACACGTTAGTGCTGTGGCTTTTTTTTTTTTTTTTTTACTTAACCACAGGAAGGGAAAGCAAACAAAAGATGTATTCATCCATGCATGTGGAGAGAATCTCCATCTTAGGGGCTAATGGCAAGAGGAAGACAAACATTAGGTGGCAGCAGATTGGGGCAGGTGTGGGACTTCCTGTTTACTATATCACCTGCCTCAGGGCAGTTCCTCCTAAGTAATCAAAGTTGCATATACTTTTTAAAAAGTGTTATCATTATTTTTTAATAGAGACTTTTTTTTAATTGGAAATTTTCTTTAAATTGGCTCCTCTTTTTTTCCCCCCTCCTCCTGGCTCCTTTTAAAAGGAAACTTTTTATCCCATCGTAAATAGAGAATGGTACATAATAAAATAAATAACAAGCAGTCAGTTATATCTGCACCATTTAAAACTCTCTCCTGTGCCCTCAGTGGTGTCATTGCCACACTGGGAAAAGTTTGCTCACTATCTCCAGGGCTCTTCTTGGCTTTCATGGTCGATGAAGTTGGTTTTCCTTTGCTCATGTAACCGAAGTTTCTTGCTAGAACTTTTTTCTTGTTGGCCTTCCCCATTTTAAAAAAAGGAGACAAATTTGATTTAATAATCAAAGTTTGAATAGCCATTTTTATAGAAATTGCCATCTTCACTTAATCTGCCTTGTAGAATAAAATGTTATGCCTTGATTTATAAGTGTTGACTTGGAGGGAGAACTTCAAAACCGACCAGTTACACATCTCAGTGAACTGAGCACAGAAATAAAATCATGAGATGAAGTAGTTGGGGGGGGAAACCTTCAGACATTTTTCAGGAATTTTTTTTTTTTTTTTGAGTTGGAGTCTCACTCCGTTGCCCAGACTAGAGTGCAGTGGCATGCTCCCAGCCACCGCAGCTTTGACCTGCTGGGCTCCGGTGATCCTTCCGCTTCAGCCTTCCAAGTAGCTGGAACTACAGGTGCGCGCTACCACGCCCGGCTGGTTTTTTTATTTATTGTAGAGATGTGGTCTTGTCAAGTTGCCTGGGCGGGTCTCGAATCCGCAGGCTCATGCAATCCACTCGCCTCGGCTTCTCAAAGTGCTGGGATTACAGGCTGAGTCACTGAGCCTGGCCTTTTTTATTTTTATATTTTTTTGCTATCTATCTTGCCTTTTAGGTAAGTATTAGAGCAAAATTGATCATTTAGAATACAGTTTTTTTGTAACCAAATGTGAAACGTATGTGTTTTTAAAAACAATTCATATGCTTTCAGATTTCTTCAGGGGCCCCACAGTGTCCAACATCCGCCTGGCTGGGTTAGAGTATGTTCTGCACTTCACGGCGCTGGGCGGGAAGATTTACTTTCGAAGCTACAAGTGAGTGCATTTCTTTGCATGCTTTTCTTAATCCTTGGGGTTGGCATTTTAGTGTGTGTGTTTTAAGGAGCTGCAACTTCTCTGGAGGGTTTGTATGGTGGCAGCGGCAGCAGCCTTGTGACCCTCAAGCTGTCTTTCTCCTGCCACCCTCTACCTTGGAAACCTGGTACATCTGACAAGCACTCTTTCTGAGCCTGGTGCATGCCCTCCCTGACTTACATGTGACCTCTTCGTTGTTCTTGGCTGGATTTAGAGCACCATCACACATCAACCATAGAAATCTCAAAACCCTAAATCTGCACAGTGGAATCTAAAAGGAATAAGTAGGTTTAATGACTAGATTCATTTGACCCTCCTCCAGCGCAGGCCTCAGCTTCTACACTCCACCACCTATAAATACAATTCCTGGCAAGCATATTCTGTTTTTATTCAAGCGCTAATGATATCATTATGCCTTTTGAGGTGAACGTGACTTTTTCAAAATAAAGTGTAGGCACTGGCTGATAGAGCCCAAACTTTCCAAGAGAACACTGACTGCCACAAATTGCCTTTCTTTGTACGTTGAGTCAGGCTTGGCTGTGCATTTTGAGTTGTGCACAGTGTACTGTTGCAGCCTTGAGCGACTGCTCAGTGCTGGCAGTGTCTTTACTTCAGTAGTGCTATTGGTATAACCATTTGTGTCCAGCATTTCGTAATGGTTAATTTTTCTTCACTGTGGAATCTGTGGCTCACTAGCTTATGTGCATTGAGTGTCCACGTGAAATGAAATATTTGCCTCTTTTGTCAATTAATAATTTCTACCTTGGTCTCAACCTTATTGAGTCAGAGGCACTTACCTCTTTTTCACCCTATGATTAGTACCACCACTTCTGTTTTTCTATTTTCTTCTCATTAAAAGTAAAATAATAGCTGGGCATGGTGGCTTACACCTGTAATCCCAACACTTTGGGACCCCGCAGGTTCAAGACTAGTCGGGGCAACATGGCAAGACCTCATCTCTACAATAAATAAAAAAATTAGCCGGGTGTGGTGGCATGTGCCTGTAGTTTCAGCTACTTGTAAGACTGAAGCAGAAGGATTGCCTGAATCCAGTAGGTCAACGCTGGGTGGCCGTGAGTGTGCCACTGCACTCCAGCCTGGGCAACAGAATGAGACTCCAGCTCAAAAAAATAAAATAAAGTAATAAGGAAAAATGCAGTAAAATAGCCAATGATTGTAAGCTATAACTAGGGGTCGGGCCAGCCTGTAATCCCGCGTTTTGGGAGGCCGAGGTGAGTGGATTGCCTGAGCCCGCAGGTTCGAGACCCACCTGGGCAACTTGGTGAGACCTCATCTCTACAATAAATCAAAAATTCGCCGGGCATGGTAGCATGCGCCTGTAGTTCCAGCTACTTGGAAGGCTGAGGCAGAAGGATCGCTGGAGCCTAGCAGGTCAAGGCTGCGGTGGCCGGGAGCGGCCACTGCACTCCAGTCTGGGCGACAGAGTGAGACTCCAACTCAAAAAAAAAAGAAAGAAAAAAATGTAACTAGGGACTTGGTAATCATTTGTAGCTAGTTAAGTCTGCTGTATGAGTTACCACATTTGATTCTGGGGCTTCCAAGAATGTATTGCACTATAAAGTAGATGACAACAAGAAATTTAGAGAGCAAGAAATAACAGATGAAAAACCACTAACATAAAGTAGTTCTTTTTTTTTTTTTGAGTCG